TACAGACAGATGCCAGTGTGATATGTTGGAAGGGGTCAATGCCTCGAATCGCTATCTCCTCAACAATATCCCCCCCGACCCCCCTGAAACACTCTCGCTCAGTCATTTCCATCACCTGTTCCCTAAATCGAATACAGGCCTCTCTTAATATATCTACATCTTGTCTGCAATAGTAAGCCAGAGCCTTCTTTAGTTTAAACACGGTACCTGTATTAGCAGAGTGCCATTTCATGAATTCTTCTCTCTCCCCGGGCATCATGGTTTCAGGGCTGTAATACTTGATTTCAGGGAGTGGCCCCACGTAGTCTTGATTGGCCATTGTATTGAACAAGTGGGGAAAATATCCTTTGCTGCCTTGAAACCCCATAGCTTTGGGTAATTTGCTTAATTTAAGGGGCAAAAATGAGAGGCTATCAATAAACCGGATCTTATAATCTGGCAGGGTGATACACAACAGTTTCCCCCCCTGACTTATAAGCCGAACCTTAACCTTTTCACGGATCAACTGCTTCAGTACTAGGTACCCGTCATAACCTTTGGAGTTGTGAGCGATAAAAGTACATCCTTTAAACTTATGATTTATAAAATTCTTTACAAACTGCTCCAGGCATCTAACACCATAACAATCCCACCTCACAACATCTTTATCATCCTCATCATTCAACATATCCCTGGCGCAGGCATAATTAGGTATATGGATGCCTGTCTCTTGACAGCATTCAAAATCATAAATGATGTATCTTTTGCCAATTTGCGGCTGGTCCAATGAATTTAGAAAGCATAAATGCCTTTCCAAGCCTTCAACCTTCTCAGAGCACTGTCCACACTTGGTTTCCTTGCACTTTTTGTGGGGGCTAAAGACGTAAGCCCCACACGTTTCACAATATTCTTTATTCTTACAGTCAACTTTTCCCTCCATAGCAAGCTGTGTGTGTCTTTCAAGACACACCTTAGACCGGCAAAACTCTTTGCACCTACAGCAGCGCACCTTCTCCTCCACCACCTGCTGGCATTCTTGGTTGAGACAGGCTCTGCAGATATATTGACAGCCATGACTAAATTTGTGGTGGTAGGGTGTGTGGCAGAATTTACAGAAATAGCGTTCACCCAGGAAGCCCTTGATATTTTTGATGCCATAATAATGCTTGTCGTGTAACAATATAAACACTATTTTTTCTTGCTGGGGGCTACCTGTGACAAAAAACCGCCAACCGTCCTGCATATAAAACAAGATCTTTATAGTGACCCTTAAAGCTTCTTCAAAGAGGTGTATCTGAGAAAAGTCAATTCTGTTTTCTGTGGAAACACCCAGTCTATTGTGAAGTTCCCTGGCCCTGGTAATAATTTCTTGATTTCTAACATCCCCGCCAATCAGCCAGAGCAAACAGCTAGCAAAACATAGAAATTCACCTCCCACATTGAAATCTACTAGGTGCTGTCTTTTTTTCTCCAGCACTCTGGTGAGCAGCACAGTGCTTAACTTCCTAAGACCTCCCCCCTCCTTGTTCTTCACGACAGTAACCACTAATTGCAAATTACCCCCCCACAGTATCTCGGCCTTACTTTGCAGCAGATTTTCAATACCGGTCAGAAAATCCTCAGCATTTAAATCATTGATATTCCTCCTGAGAGAAAAGAGAGGATGATTTAACCCCTCTGCATCCAGCCGGAGTTGAACAAAATCATTTGGACCTATGTCCCTAGCAACATTATTCAAAAGAGGCTGTATCACATTATGAACAGCCTCTATAGCATCTACAAAAGACCGGATTTGGTCAAGATTAATAAATCTATAGCGTTGATAATATTCCACAGCCCTGAAATTCCTGATAGGCTTCTCCCATTCCTGTACCATATCCAAATAAACATTGTTCATATTCTGAGAGTTTGCAGAGTTAGGGGCTTGTAGCTGTGGTGTAGAATGACATATCTCCCCTTCTGGTTGAGATGCTGGCATGGAATCACATTTATGACTGTCTGCTGGGGATGCGGGAAGTCCACCTCCATGCATTTTTGCTTTTTTGCAGGCCGGCTCTGGTTAAACAAACAAACAAAAGGCTATCACCAACATTCCTAATAATGTAATAACGCTCCCCTCCCTTTAGTTTCTAAAAAAATAATACTAATGATTTTGTAGTTGGATAAAATGCTAGATATTATACCTCCTAACAGCATTCGTGTTGTGTAGCTTGTGCATGGCTGGGCCTCTTGGGGCTCCTGGGGTAATGTAAGGTCTACATATGGCTGGTCATCCACCCATTCTGAAGGAAAAAAAAAGCCCCCAATGTTCAGAATTGTTGCAGAAATGTTTACCAGAATCTAAAATGTTATGAAAATATGAAAGACAAATACCTTCATACGCCCTCAAACATTCTGAGTCTGTCAATTGGTTCTCTACAGTAATAGCAACATCAGTGAATAACTGGTCATCCTCCCATTCTGAAGGAAAAGAGAAATCCTATGGTCAGATTTGTTGCAGAAATGTTTACCAGAATCTAAATGTGTGAAAGTATGAAAGACAAATACCTTCATAAGCCCTCAAGCATTCTGAGTCTGTCAATTCATTCTAGTGAAATAAAACAATCAATCAGTCAAACAAGCAAGCAGACAAGAATATTCTAAAACTCCATTTTGCATCTAAGTGTTTCAAAAATTAGCCATAAAACTACTTACAATAGTGGCTTCCATTCTGAAAAGGGTCTTCTTAGCAGATCAAATGGCTCCAGAGGTACAGATATGCCAGAAACCAGCAAATGTGACTAGACCAGTATGGACCCTGCTTTTGTATACGCTGGTGATGTCACAACTTAATCACATCAGAGGAGGTGTGTTTTTCACAACTTTTGCAAATCTGACCAGCCCCGCCTCATCAGGGAAACCGAATTGAATAATACCCCTAGAGTTTTGATTAAATTGTATTTAACATCTGCCAAAGTTAAACAGGGGTCAGCAAAAGAAAAACATAATACATATTTCATGTGATTTGTAAAGCCCATTTTATTATAAATTTCATAGCATTAAGAGATTCTTGTAATTAATTTCTGTTACATTTTGGCATATGAGCCTCTTCAGAGACAATGGCAATTCAGATTCAATCTTTGACATTAATGACAGTGGTTTACGGCTCTTTTCGATACGCTGTATGAATGTCTTGACCTCATCAAGGGAACCCTGGGTGAAATATAAGTTATTCATTTTGTCAGAAATACTGATGATGATCCAGAGAACATGAGGCATAGAAAGTGTAAAGCATAAGCTTTTAATATGTTCTGTTTCACTGGTACCATCCACGTGGTCTTCATCTGATTGTAGACAACCCATTAAGCAGTGGTATAATATTTTAATAATACACGCTTTCAGAATCTGAGGCATGCTGGCATTTTGAGACTCCGCCGTTTCTAAAGCAGGAAATAAGGTAGATTTAGGCTTGCTGTTTCAACCAATCAAAATACTGTTTTCTTAATTTTTATATATATATATTTACTTACCATTTGATGTTTTGCAGAATCTGCAATAACAAGGTTTTATAGGTTTGTTCTCTTCAATGAAACTGTATAACGCAGGTCCTTTTCTTATTCTTCGCCCACGCTTGGGTGGTTTGGGGGTCAAATTTACATCAAACAAATCTCCATCAGAGGCTGCCATCTTCAAAAGACTGCTGGGACTAAATCGCTAGCTGTTCAGGCCTGCCCACACAAACTCACCTGCCCCTTGCAATGACACGCCCTTGAGCATTGCGCATGCCCAGATCACGGGGAGAATGACATGCCCAGGCATGTCCCTGCTCACACAAACTCCCCTGCCCCTTGCTATGACACGCCCTTGAGCATTGCGCATGCCCAGATCACGGGGAGCATGACATGCCCAGGCATGTCCCTGCCCACACAAACTCCCCTGCCCCCTTGCAATGACACGCCCTTGAGCATTGCGCATGCCCAGATCACGGGGAGCATGACATGCCCGGGCACATCCCAAACAAGGCCTACCCCTTCTTTTTTTTTACTAGCAGACAGACAGGCATGGCTGCTTGCTGCTTGCCTCTTGTGAGCCTGGTTGGCTGCTTGCCTCTTGTGAGCATTTTAATTCCTGTTAATATTCCTTGTCTTTTGCTATAGTGGGAAGGCGGGCAGAATAAATTTTATTCGGGGTACAAATGGCAAAATATGTGTGTTTAGATTTTTTACAAAGGTAAAAACCAGCTGTGGGTTTTAAAAGGGGCTGTGTTTGTTTGTTTTTCCCCCTGCATTCGAGGAAATGCTTTTAAAACCACCTAGACATAAATACCTTTTAGAAAAAAATATCTTTTAGAAAAAAGGGGTTAAATGCAGGCTCTGGCTGCCTTTCAGGGGCTTCTTTTTCCCCAGCTTTTGAGGCACTGATTTTTAAAACTCCACAAAAATTAAAAGCATCGTTAGGCTAGAATGATTAGAAATAAAAAGCCTTTTTTATTTTTTATTTCACAGCTCCCCAAAGTAGGGCTTGTTTCCCAAAAACACAGGCCTCTGCTAATTATTCACTTAGCTCTTTTGGGTTTTGAATGTCCATAGAAATAGTCTAGGGTTAACAGCTCCCCAAAGTAGGGCTTGTTCCCCAAAAACACAGGCCTCTGCTAATTATTCACTTTACTTAGCTCTTTTTGGTTTTGAATGTCCATAGAATTAGTCTAGGGTTAACCTAATCATGTACCCAGAGGATTGACTGCCAATCTTGATGGGATTAGGCCAAAACGTCACATCCGGAGGGTGGGGGCTGAGCACGTCACTTCCTTTTAGGGCTGTGCCCTGTTGACGTAATCAGCACGTGGGTTTGTTTACTTTGATGACGTCACTGATCAAAAGTGCTGATAATTTTCATTAAAAAAAGGTATACACTACTTCTACTGTCCCCCCTCAAAAAAAATAATTGTCCATGACTGAAAAGGAATCCTTTTTAGAAAACTGACAGAGGAAGTATTGTTCAAAGCTACTTTTTTCCCATGTCTGAAATTTTTTCATACTTACTTTTTTAAATAAAGGGAAAACTAGTGACCCGAGCAGCTTTTGAATAGAAGAGGGACACCCAGCATGGGTCTTCTCTGCTTGGAGAATTTGTTCTTCTAGGAGAGAAACATGATGGCCAGCCATTTTCACAAATGCCTAAGAGGCAGAAACAGAGATTAAGTCATCAGAAGAATTGGTTTGATTTCTTAATTTTGAAAAGATTTTCCAAAGTTACTTTTCTTTTCAGCAACTGGAATATTTGTCTGTGTATGTGTGTGTGTGTGTGCGTGATCAATGGTCATACTGAAACTACGTTTGACATGCTAAATTGACGAAAGCAATATTGATCTCTCTTGTTTGCTGTTAGCAACTTTTAAAAAAAAGAATAATCCATGATGTAAACTATAGTTTGTGCTATTCTCATTTTCTCAAGGTAGTTATATCCTAAATATGGGTTTGTTTTTTTTTAAAAAGAGAGAAATCCATATTTATGAAGGACAGACTTTGCATCATTTCTCCTTGTTAACAACTAATAGCTTTCAGGTCTAAACAGATTCACTTAGTATACTAGATAAATATAACAGAGAAAGTTAGGAAAGTAATTTTTTTAAGTATTTTTTTATAAAATGCATCATTATTTCCTTCTCCCTGAAAACAAACTATAAAACCATAGTGAATAATTATATTCTTATGACCTTTGCAACATTCTCATGATCATGTGATCAAAATTAAGACACCTGGGAACTGATTCATTTATGACTGTTGCTATGTCCCAAGGTCATGTGAGCACTTTTTCCAACCTTTTGACAAGCAGTCAATGGGAAAGCCAGATTCACTTAACAACTGGGACACTAATTTATTAACTGAAGTGATTCACTTACCAACTGTGGCAAGAAAGATTGTAAAATGGGGCAAAACTCACTTAACAAATGTCTCACTTAACAACAGAAATTGTGGGCTCAGTTGTGGTCATAAGTCAAGAATTACCTGTATGGGAATTACAGTGACTGTCTAAGAGTAGAATAGAAACAAATACTATATTAGTACTTATGAGAAAAAGTTCAAGAGAAATTCATACATTGATGTGACTTAAACATATAGAAAGAATAAACAAGGACTTAATTATAAAACAAATATATGAAGAATGAATAACTGACTATGTGGGACACTGAGAAAGTCCAATTGAATTGAGCTAGGATCCTAAAAAAGGAAGATGTGAGAATATTAAAAGGCATAAGATAAGTAGTACAATATGGTGGAACCAAAAATGGTTTACAAGGGTAGAAATGTACAAAGAGATACAATAAGTACTGAAATTGGAGTTAGCCACATTTCCCTTTTTTCATCCATACATAATTTCTTTGTCTTCTTATTTCTCAATCCATGTCTGTGGGATGTTGTATAGTGTGGTGCACAGTGTTATTTATCCAAAATTGGTATGAATGGTATATGTTACATTATTTACATTTGTTTTTAGTGAATTCTAATTAAAAAAAATGATCCATCACTTTTTTTTACCAGTTTTTTGATAATGGTATAATGATTCTTAATGGTAAGAATCTTTTTAAATACTTCAATGGAACTATACCTGCTTGAAAGCCCAGATTTCTGGTCCAACCTTGCATAATGTAAGCAACACACCTCTAGTTTATCCACTTTTGTGTAGACATTGTTCATTTCTGAAACCTTGGCCTTAATAAGTGGAATCATCTCTTCCAAGAGAATGGATGTATCACTCCTAATCTGCATGAGAAAAAAAAGTATCAGAAAGCAATAAATAAAAAAACATATATAGTATACTGTAATAATACAAGTATATCATTGTATGTACTATATAGCAGGGGGTGGAAATGGGTGGAATGGGTGGAAACTAACCAAAGAGAGAAGCAGCCTAGAACTAAGGAGAAACTTCCTGACAGTTAGAACAATTAACCAATGGAACAACCTGCCTCCAGAAGCGGTGAATGCTCCAACACTGGAAGTTTTTAAGAAGAAACTGGACAGCCATTTGTCTGAAACGGTATAGGGATACCTGCCTGAGTAGCGGGTTGGACTTGATGACCTCCAAGGTCCCTTCCAACTTTACTATTATTATTATTATAGCGCCAAACATTGTCCTTTAGAAAATTCAGTATAGATGAACACATCAGTAGATTCCTTCCTAGGAATTATATGTTCTGTAGCTATCTTCAGTAATGCCACACTGACAGTGTGTTCTTTTACCAGCTACTAGGTCTACATACTATGTAAACAACAGAATGTTTCATATTTTAACTTAAGGTTGCAAGAATTATATACATTTCTCCACCCACAGCTGATTCCTAGCAGGCTTTCTTTACATCTGCTGATTCATTGGTGGTGTTCTGTTATTTTGTGTGCAACATGTTATGAGAAAAACAATTCTTTGATATCTGTTCTGGTTTTGTTATCCACCCTCTTCTGCCTATCACTAATTAGCTGACAATGCATCCTGCAACTATAAAACTGTAGGAAGTCTGGGGTGGGTCTGGCTCCCAGATTCTGGCTACATCTTCTTTCTGTCCTCTTCCTCTACACTCTGTTCTGTTGTTATCCTAGTTGAATAAAGCTAAAAAAAAAACCAGATTGAAATCACAAAGAATGTTCAGAAGCAATGGTTCTACTTTGGAGTTTTCTTTTTTTCTTATTTTTCAGGACAACACAGGTCAGCTTCCAGATCGCTCTGTTCTCTGGGACTGAGTGGTGAGAAGAGTTGTACCCATCATTTACTGTTTTGCTTTTCCAGACTTGCATTAAATTCAGCAATAGGCAGAGTTAGGATACCTACAGCATTGCCAGCTGAGCAATATAATGCTACAGTACAGTGTGCACAATTCTGAGAGACACTGACACAGCACAGGTGGCTCTAGTTCTTTAGAAGACAACAACAGAATAGCAGCAAACAAGGGTTGATAGGGACTCAGAGTAATAGGGCTAAAAGGAACTTTGGTGGTATTCTAATCCAACCCCCCTGCTCAAGTAGGAGACCCTACATCATTCCTGACAAATGACTGTGTATGGAAGGGTAGGATAGGGAAGAGTAGGGTAAGGTAGGGGAAGGGGAGTAAAGTAAAGTAAATAAAGTAAAGTAAAGTAAAGAAAAGATATTTATCTCCTGTAGAAGTATGAAGGGAAACCTTACAATACAGAAGAGCAGCCATTCTCCTCTGACGATAAAAACAAATAATTGGTGCAGGAAAGTAATGCCCTCTTTTTTGGGCAGAGAGCAGCAATATGTACAGACAACAAATAACAGTTGGTATGTTTTGGAAACATACTATCAGAAACTGTAAAGTAAAATCAGCACAACACAATTATTATTTGGGTACAGCAGAATCAATAGCAAAAGCTGATTGTTGTAAATGTGGTAAGCAAGATAAATGGAAGTTTTACCTTGATGTGTATAACTTTCTTCATGGCTGAACAAAGATTTGAAGGGGGCTGAAGATAAAAGTTCAAGAACTACTTCCTATCCACAGTGTACATCATCTTTCCGTAAAAGGTAAGGCATATTTCAGGTAAAGCCCAATCTTTGGTGACTTCATAGAGATGTCAATATTGAGTTTTGGTCAACAATATGGAAATGATTTGCCACTGTCTTCTCTCAGATGCTAAATCAATCCAGCGTACAGCCCTGGAAATTTTCATTCCACATTAACTATCAGCTATGCTTAGTTTTCCCTCTCCTAGATAAATCTTTATACACTTTGTAAGGAAAGAAATGTGTAGCAAATACTTTTCTTTTTTATGCACACCTTTGCTGAAATAGGACCTTTTTTAAAAAAAAAACACAGGTAAGTCCTTGTGGAAATCCCCTTGGGGCCACATTAAACTACATGCAACAGTTCCTTATGGAAAATTGCAATCTTTTCTTAGACCTATGCAAAAGAAAATGCAGCAGACAACAGATGGTTTCCAAACTCAATTCTTCTGTAATTCCTCTGCAAACCACCCAGAATCACTTAGGTGAAATGGGTGGTGCAAAAATGTAATAAATAATAAAAAGTAAACTACCACAATGCAGAGCTGTTGTGGGGAAAATAGGAAGCAAGAATAGTAGATATGCTTGCTTCCTTGAGTTGACCAAAAATTAAAAAAGGCAGGATAAATTAACAACAATTATAGTGATGTAATAACATTTGTTTGTTACATTGCTATTTTTTTTCTATATTGTAAACTTAGTGGCTTCTTCTGATACCTTCTACTTTCTTCCACCATTGGAATTGTTTGTAATTATGTTTATAACATTACATTTTGGAGTAGTTTCTCCATGAGCTTCTCCTGCCATTGAACTATACTTCTGTTTTGAATGTATTAACCCCGGCTTTTTTCAGGTTTGAGATATGATTTTGAATACATCAGCATTAATTGCTACCCTTGTCCAAAGCTCTCACTGGCTTTCCTTTGTCTACTAAGTTTTCTAATTAGGATCAAACGAAGAATTAGTTGATTCTCTTTTGCTGTAAGAGGTTAGATAAAAAGTGTTCTGGGAAATCTGAATATTTGAATCTATCAAAGTGATTTTTTTATTATTAACTAGTCAAAAAATCTCATTAGAACAAACTGTAACTTATTCAAAAAACTTACTACAAGCCAAGTCTCAAAGACATTGTTCCTGCAGAGAATACTCATCAGGAAATCACATTATTTTTGAGTTCTAAGTTTTTAGTACTTATTTTTCTTGCTGTATTTCACGCTCTTGTGTTTAACCATTATTATTGTAATATACTACAATATATCGAACTGCAGACTATAAAAATTTTAAAACCAATAAAAACACAATAAAAATAATTGCCTGTTCCTTGGATACAAGAGACAGCAAAGAAAACAATGACAACAAAGCTGCAAGGCGAGACACTAACAAAGATAATTCTACCATTATCTATGCAGAAATATGTGTCCTTGAAAGCAACAGAGATAATTCCCAGGAAAGTACCGTAATCTTAAATATTTTGTTGGTTGCAACTGGAGTAGAGAAATCTGAAATGCTAGAATCTGAATACCTATGAAAACAACCTATATATACTTAGGGAAGGTAGGTTTCCCTTTGACAATGCACTACATACTTGATAAATATGTTTTTTGGAAGGTGTTTTAAGCATTGTTTTCTAATGTGCATCATACTTATTATGAATTAGAATACAATGATTAAAAAGGCCCCACACAAATCATTGCAACGCAAAGCACTGATTAAAGAGGCTGCAAAGAACAACCAGATATGCTGTATTTGAACTGATATGAATAGGACTGTATCAATACCTTCATTTTAAATCACAATTGCAAACTACTGTAGTCAGTTTTCATGACACAAGATCAGTGGGCCTCTTGAGAATTTGTTTTTTTGATCCTAAAGTAAAAAGTCCACAATCACTTTCCAAGATGACCTTTGGACAGCTATCAACTTCATGGCATTAGCTTTTCTTCTCCACTAAAAAATAGAGGGGAAATCTTGGGTTGAGTGTGCAAATTTTTCTCTCTAGAACTAATACGGGGAATCTTTCATATAGTATTCAAACAGCCACAAGGAGACATCTGTGAGCAAAGCTCCTTATTGTGTCTATGCATGCAGGTAAGAATGGTGCACATAAAATTTACAAGCAAAGATAGTTGTCTAGACCTGCAAGTATTTGTGCACCATGGTGCCACCTTGTGGCTTAACCATCACTGTTCTCAGTAATAAAAACCATTTCAGAGAAGGTTGTTATCAAGATGGCTGCCTCAGGAAGAATGTGAGCATGTGTATGTGTGTGCGCACGCTGAAGTGTGAGAGAGAGAAGAGAGAAAGTCCTGTAGCTCCCTCTTCCCACACAGCTCACTGCAGCTGAGCTGCTGTTTCTAAATCACTCTCAAGATGGCCTCCAGAGGAGATAACATAAAGAGGAAGTATTTATATTCTCCAAGGTCTTCAAAAGCTGAACATACCATATCAGTCATACCACAGAATTCATCCAGCCTTATTAACATCTCTTCTATACATCCTTCTACTTCTTTCATCTGAAAATAAAGAGATAATTTAATGTTATTGCCCCTGCAAAATAAGAGAACCCTCTGAACATCCTAATGTTCAATGACTTGACTTACTTAACATTAAATGCTGACAGTTGAAAATATTTTTTTCTACTTCTCATTAGATTATATGCACCAATATACAAAATGCATTTTTTTTAAAAAGGCCATGCTTGCCAAACTTAATTCTCCATGTTTTCTCTTGAAGACAAGCATGAAAAATTTTCTTGTTTGGATCCTTTCCAATATCATAGCAACCTACTATCCTTGCAGAAAGCATTTTGTTGGTGAAAGCCCATTTAAGCTCCACATCTAAAAATCTGTTTGAAACAAGTTCCCCAATTTACAATGTTTATTAGAATTTGAATAAGTGGTCCTTGAGAGAATCTGCAATAAATACATGTTTAAATTTTTAACAATTGTCCTTTTTCTCATACCATTTCAAAGAAACATGTAACACAATCTACAGTAAAACCACATAATTTTCCAATTACTTCATGTTTTAGAAAGGAAAGTGACAGAAAAAGCTAACTGCTGCAAATTTCAAACTTCTTCTTTCCTTCGGCCTAGCAGAAATTTGGGATGTTTGTAGAACAGCAACATTTTTTTAAATCTGATGGTGAGAATTCTGCTTGAGATATAATAGAATCTATTATCTTATGATGATCTTCTGCAATCTGGTGCCTTTCAGTTTTGGATCTGGTTGAGAAAGATTATTCAAAATTATTGTTGAAGCATGATTAAAAGATGAAAATACTAAGTTTCTGAAGTGAATTAAAATAGATACTCCTAGTATAACTGGGTACTCCATTAAAAGTTGTCTTTTTTAAAACAATGCCTTTAAAAACAGTTTGTGTACTTTAAGCTTAACACCATGTGTAGTATCATCCATTATGGCTTATGTGCAAGTCAGATCACTATCATTCATCCAACAAACCATGTTTTAGAAAATCTTGGTTAGAATTATGTGTGAAACAATCATGACATTCCTGATTTCTCTGCCATCACCACTATTTGTTCTAAAAACGTTTTCTTCCCCTACTTTATTACTTCAGGTAATCCTTGAATTATGACTGGAAGCAAGCCTGGCATTGCGGTCATAAGAAGTACCAGTCATTAAGTGGGTCATCCTCTGACTGACCTGATTTTATGACTTTTTTTTTTCAGCAATCATTAAGGGAATTTGCTGTCATTAACCGAATGCCAAGGGCATCAAGTGAACCCATTATCTACAGAAGACGTTGTCAGAAACTGGAAATACATGCCAACTTGTGGCAAAAAAAATCATATATCATGGTTATGCGACAGTGGGACATTGCAAACAGCCATAGATATGGGCTGGTTACCAAGCACCCCCAAAAAACAATGTGATTTCGAGGTGGCTGCGGGGTGGTGGGGTGGCTGTCAGAACTTCAAATTTTGTTTTTTGATCCATCATAACTTCAAACAGTCACTAAGCCGCCATAAGGTAAGTCAAGGACTACCTCTATTATACCATTTCTACTCTATTAAAAGTTATGATTCCAAAATTAAACATTATTTTTGCTTTCTTCTGTATTTCAGTTCATATCCATTTTTACATATACCAGTATATATATAAATTTCTGTAAAGTTCAACACCACCTTTAAAAGATTTAAATAATCCTCCATTATCAGAGTTATATTTAACTTTTTAGGTCACAGACTATCACTTGAAGTCGTCTCTTCTAATATTTCAAGGAACAGGCCTTACATAAACATTACATCATATTCTCCTTATTTCCTCTGGTGGCCTTTCCACAAACAGGCAGGATGTTAAGGATCACTTTACATATGACAATTGTTCACCCACACCCATTGCCTTTTGATAGCCCTGCAATCACCAAGCTATTATATTGTGCATATACTGCATACAATTTAGAAAATGAACATGATAACAAACAGCATAAATACACCTTAAGTTCTTGTCAATAACATCTTTGCAAAAGTCTGTGACATTTAAATAAACTCCTTTTAGAATTTAAATTATGAGCCTGTGAAATATTGAGACAAATCTATGATATAGCTCAATATCTATTATTAGACAAGAATTGTCTTTTGATACTTCTGTATTGGTTCAAAACACAAACAAGGACATACATAAAAATGGGAGCAGAGTATTTTCAACAATTCATCTTGTTTATTTGAAAAACAAATTTAAATTGATACTCCCACTGAGATTTCAGATAGACAGTGGGTTAAATTTACAGAATATATTACATATATTTATTTGAGCATTATCTCTACTAATCTTTGAAGAAACACAACCGTAGACCTTCTGAATGGCAGGGTTGGAGAAAACGGATTGAAAGATTACTTCTTCAGGCAGGCCCTTAAATTCTGCAGTGTTTTTCTAAAATCAGGCAGAAGCAGAAATTAAATTATGTTTCCAGGTACCCCCAATATGGTGCTATAATATCTGGCAATGCCATTCTGATAGATAAGATCACTCTAAAATATGTTCAGAAATGTTATGAATTAAGTGTTCCTAAGTCAGATTTCATTTTTGATTCCATGGGATTTCAATCATCATTTTCTTCTGTTAAAATGAAAATAATTATTGCCATGCCACTGTGCGAAACTGATTTACACCAAACAACAAAAATTAAAGGCAGAAATTACTGTTCATTCTTAATGACACCATCAAGTAAATGATCCATATTATGTAATTTCTGTCATTTGTAAATGATGTACCATTTGGAATTCAAAACTGACATGGTATCACCTGTCCTCCTTGTCTCCAGTGTGACATGAATTCAGATAGTTACTGTGGCAGGCACAAATTTATTCAAATTACAGTTTTATTGATTATATTTATCAATATAGTTTGTTATGTTGATAAACAACTGGAAGGAAAAAAGCTCATTTTTTTCAAGAAGGAATTAAGAACAGAAGAGTTCCATATCCTTTCAAGAGATTATTATTCTCACTCAGATACTATTTAACCACATCCAATGCTCCAACACTGGAAGTTTTTAAGAAGAGACTGGACAGACATTTGTCCGAAATGGTATAGGGTTTCCTGTCTGAGCAGGGGGTTGGACTAGATGACCTCCAAGGTCGCTTCCAACTTTATTATTATTATTATTATTAGTAGTAGTAGTAGTAGTAATAGTATCACCAGAGGTTTTCAAAAACAGACTGGACAGTCATTTGACTGGGATAATATAAAGTCTCCTGCCTTGAGCAGGGGTTGGACTGGAAGACCTCTGAGGTCCCTTCCAGCCCTATGATTCTATGTTTTATATTTGATATTCTAACTAAGAAGATCACTAAAAATCTCATTTACTTTGCTATTTGTGTTAATATAGTAGAACTTCACTCTAAAAATCTACAAAAATTTCATTGTTACTTATATTCACAATATTTCCTAAAAATATTCTTTCTCTGACTTAAATATTGTTAATTTTTGCACAATTGACATATTTTTAATAATTTATCTTGTTTTTGTTCTTTAACAAAAAATTTTCCAGTACAGACTTCTTCTATACACATTTCTTCAGAGTAATTTTTGACTGCTTATTACTATTTGTATACCACTTTCAATAATATACTGTACCTTCTTTTCATATACAGGTTTTCTGCTTATTTTTGCTGAAAAACAAACACTGATATTATGAAGTCTGGCAGAAGCAGAACACATAAATTATCCAAAACTCATAGCAAAATTATTTTGTACCCCTAATTGAAATAATCATTTTGAGCTCACTCATCATCAGTAAAATAAACAGGAAATAAACTTTGTGCCTAAAGCTTTATGTTCACTTTTCTTTCACTTGGTTAAGCAATACTGCATCTGGTAAGCCTTGACTGGAAACCACCAGGAATTCCCAAGATTGTAGATCAGAAGTGAAGGTGAGAAGTGATAACAATCTTGAACAACCAACAAGTCATTACCAGAAAACAAGCCCAATAAATCTCATACACATAATTTGCAATACTATTTGTATTTAAAAGTAGCCTCACAAACATGTTCATTTAACCCAATTACTAGGAAAGAATCCTATGTAAAGATGGTTTACTTCAGCATAAATGTGGCCAAGTTCATGTAGTTAATTATAGAATATCTAAACCAATCTCAGCTAATTAAGCTTGTGACATCTTGTATTTTGCTTTGAATGGGGTATGAGTGCTAACAGACATGTTCAAAATAATTATGCTAGTTTGTTTTTATTAGCTGTGGCATGGAAGTTTAGTAGCCATTATTCCACAATCATAAACAAGCATGATAAATGTAAAGAGTATCAGTCATCACGCAGCAGTAATAGCATGGACTCTTAACAAAACTATACCTGACATTTTCTTCCCTTGGGCTAATCAGAGCACATAAAACACTATTGATGCTATTATGAAAACAAAGTATGAGAAAACTGACACTCTAATCTAGGTATTTATCTTGCTCTTAACAGTCTTGAGGGAGATAATTTCGTGAATCTAAACATGCACACATACACATTTAAACATCTGAATAAGTCTCTTCATGAGGAGTCAGTTGAAATTCACTGAATTTATTCTGGAAAAAATATTATTTATTAAGTACCAAATAATAAGTCTCCTCTTTAAATCAAGTCACAGGGACAAAATGGAGATAGAGGCAGAGTGTACAATAACCTCATTCAGTTACTCTGCTCAGTTCAGCCTTCCCACCCCAAGTCAAACTGTTCACATCTACTATGGTTGTGTCAGACTGAAGACTTTGATTTAACTAGCAGCATGCAACTTCTACTCTAAGGACTGCTTTGGGCTTTGTGAAGTATGACAACCATCACACTTCCCAAAATGGATGGGCCATGACCAGGGGAGCCAAATTGAGGCTTTGGGTTTTTTTTTTTTTTAAGATTAAGGTTCCTGCAAATAAGGTACCTATTTACCATTTAAAATTAATATATTTATTAGATTATTTTTATCCCACCTTTATTATTTTATAAATAACTTAGGCTGGTGAACATACCTAATACTCTCTCCTCCTA